TGATTTAACAATATGGTGTTATGCGCAAGTCGCAAGCAAGCTGTCCAGATTAACAACCACTGCATATGTTTCCGCGCAAATGTTGTCGTCACCGCAACGGCAGTATATTGGCCCTCATACTTTAGATTGCATGGATGGACAAAATGCCACCCCCCTTAGTGTACCGAAGGTCGTTCTGGCTTTATTTTTTCGTAATGATACTGAGGTCTCAGCCGACGAATGTCCGAAGCATTGTTTGTTCCGTTGGTTGCTTTTCTTAAAAATTGCACGGTACTTGTAAGAAATCACCCAAAAAATTGCTCTAGCTCACTTAAAGATTGCAGTAAACTCCTCCTTCGCAAAATCGTAAAACTCTTTCTCCATCTGGTACACTTCGTTCCTTCTTATCACAGACAATGTATAGTCGTTAGGAGGGAACTTCTGTTTCGTATTACGAAGATGTGCTCGATTCTCTACAAAGAACTTGAATTCGTCATAACTATGGGATGCATAATCTCACCGCTCAGCCCATCAAAGTGGTCAAGTGCTCCTCTAAAGAAACGTGGAAGCAATCGTTCAAGCACTGCTATGAAATCCCGCATCCTTTCACTGATACCCACCAACAGGTACTTTTCAATCAAGTTCCTCTTCGCCTGCTCCAAAGCAAGCTTGCTACCAACAATGCTGTAACAGATGTTCTCTAGAGTACCTATGCACTTTTTGTTGTGACAATTGATGAATACAAACGTGCAAAAGTGATGATGTCCGCAAAAATATGGAATCTGCAGCCACATCTGTTTCATGTCACAGTCACGACCACCTCTCATTACGCAATCGTCAAATGTCTACAAAGAAAACGAAGATAATCTAGTTACCAGTAAAATGTATGATGAATTCACATTTAATAACTGGTTGTAGGAGACAAAAAAATGAGCGCAAACTGAGTTATTTGGGGGTAATTTACGGGGAAATGGTCATAACTTAACCTAGCCATTCCAAACAAGGTGTATATCATCAGACTCGCCTGAAGCTGACTCAAATATTTTTATTATGTGCCGAATGACTATGGAAGGAGTTATGAGCGTTCAAATATGAAAAATTGTCCGGGTTCTAACGATTAGACCCTGGCCATACTTCGCTCAAAAGCGCTCAAAAGCGCCCAAA